TTTCAAAGTCAAAAAAAAAAAAAAAAGAAAAATTAAAGAGATAAAAAAAAAAAACAGACTAAAACGAAAATCAAAATTAAAATGAATACCAACAGAATAAAAAAAAAAAAAAAAAAAAAAAACTCGATCTATGATTCACTTTTAATTTTACAAATTTTTTCCAGTTGTTCGTTCCATAGTTTTTGAAGTGTCATTTCTTCTTCTTCAGATAAATCGGACACGGGCCTTGTTAATTCCATTTCTTGTAAATTTATTTTAGGTTCCTTAGTTAAAAAAGAATCCCACCATTTTTCCTGTTGTTTTTCTAAATGAATCTACAAAAAAAAAAAATTAACGAATATTACAATAATAATAATAATACATAAATAATTGATTGATTGATAACTCACGGATAATTTTCCAGGTTCGTACGTCCAAACAACTTCATCAGGTTTTATTTTATCCGTAAATGAATCCTCTAAAATTGTTTCCCAATTATTTTGACTTATTTGTAATTGTACTAAAATATTATCCGAACAAGTTTTAACTCTTATATCCGACGGAGATTGTATTGTCGGTGCTAAATTAAGCTTAAAACAAAATAGAAAATCCGTTAAAATGAAATAATGGGGGGCGGGGGGGGGAGAGAAAGGATTTAAAAAAAGAAAATTCTTACAACAACATCTAAATCCGATATGGTTTGCGACCATTTAAAAATCCCTCTGTCGGCACCACAATAAGTGTCACCAGAAGTTTGTTTTTTTATCATAATTGTAGTCGGCGATGATGATCCCTTTTGACCTGTGTCCATTTTTTTCCTTTTTTCCTTTTTTTCTTTTTCTTTTTCTTTTTTTTTTTCTTTCTTCTATAAAAAAAAATTTCCCGTTCGCGTTTGCTAATTACAAAAAAAAAAAAAAAAAAAAAAAAAAAAAAAAAAAAATAATGTTGTGTCTAATTTCTTATAACCGAATAACTTTTATGTTTTTAAAAAAAAAAAAAAAATTATATAAAAACTGTTGACGATTTTATATGTAATTTTAAATATCCATGACAACAACATAAAATTTTTTTTTTTTTTTAACATTTTGAATTGATTCGGCATCCGTGTGATACGTATACTTTTTTTTTTTTTTTTGTTTACAATATAAATATTTATTATTTATTATATTATTCCAGGATTTAAAACAAAAAAAAAAAAAAAATTTTCCACAAATTTCGCACAATAAAAAAAATGACAAAAAAAATTTTCCATCACAAACCCAAAAAGAAAAAAAAAAAAAATTTACAAAACTCATTTTTTTAAAAAAAAAAAATGTTTATATAATATATATGAAATAAAAATATAAATTTAGACAATAATGACGTCGTGTGATAATAATAATAATAATTAATTATAAAAAAAAGTATCATAATATTAATAAAAAGTAATAATTTAACTGTACGCGTGCTTTTCTTTTTTTGAAATATTTAAAAACGATTTTATAAAAAAAAAAAAAAATTTATGATACGGATGAAAAAATATACAATGAACCGGATATAAAAAAAAAAACAATTTAAATACAATTTATTTCCGGTTGTTAAAACATCAATTTAAGTTATTGTTACTAAAAAACAAATTTTTTATTTATTATTAATCGATTCTCGTTACGTGCACGTATGACGACATATCATTTATCAAAAAAAAAAAAAATTTATAAAAGTGTCGTAATGTTCGTGTTTTTTAGAAAAAAAAAAAGTTATATATATATATATACATACATAGATAAAAAATAAAAAAAACAATACAAAATAAAAATAAAAAAAAAAAATTCAATACACAATACTAAAACGTTAATCAATTTGGCCGTTACGAAAAAAATAAAAAATAATAATAATAATTACTAAAAAAAAAAAAAGAAAAATAAAAATTAATAATTATTAATCGGTTTTTAATTTTTTTTCCGGAATCGTTTCATCATCGTTTTTTCTTTTCTTTTTTATCAAATGGGATATATCGGAAGCAGGAATTGAATTTGTTGGCGGCGGAGCATTCGAATTAGACGTGGATGATCTAAAAATTACAACCGATTATATATTAGACACGGTGAAAAATTCAAACTCGATGGTTTATTAATAAATAATATTTTCACTTTACCCCGGTTGATTTTTTTCTTCTCCTCTACCGGAAACAACTTGTTTTATTAATTCGTCTCTAACTTGATTTTTACAATCCGCCATGTCTTTTATTTTTTCTTCAACATCTTGTATAACCCCTTTGATTTCTTTTATTTCTCCGTCCATCGTGTAAAATGCATCTTTTTCTTCTTCCTCAGTCTTTTTGTCCCCCATTTTCTGTCTCATTTCTAACGATGATATTTTTTTATTCAATTGTTCTACGGCCATTTTGAAATTTTCAATGGCTTCATCGTAACCCTATTAAATATAAATTTTTTTTTAATCAATTATTTTATTGTGACATCAAAAGAATGAGTTTTTTTTTTTTTTTTTGAGGGGAGGGGGAATGTTTTACTGTTCGGATGAAATTACCTGACACAACGAATGAGCTATACCAAGCTGATAATATGTTTCAGCGATTCTTCTATCAACCTCAGATAAATGCTTTTTTTGTAAATTTAAAGCTTCTTTTAAGTCTTCTATAGCAACTGAATAATTCTCCGATTCTATGCCATTTTCACCTAAACACAATATTGTCTGAAAATAAAATAATAAACAATTAACCCTGCTCAACCAAAATAAATAATTTACACATAATAAAAAATCGATGTTAACCTCGGCTAATTTAATGGCAGTTTCTTTACACGTGTTTGATTTTCTAGAATAAATTAATCTTGCTAATTCTAAATATTCCCATGATAATTGTAAATCATTAACATCATCATTTTCTGTTTCATTATTTGTTTGAGGGTCTTGATTTAATACTGAATCTGATTTTTCACCATTTTCTTGAACCGTTTTGCTGTTAGAATTTGTAACTGAATCTTTATTATTTTCTTTTACATTTTCATCACCTGTTTTAGCTTCATTTTCATTCTCTTCATCTTCATCATCTTCTTCTCCTTCTTCTTCATTACCATCCTCATCATCATCATCATCATCGTCATTATCGCCATCTTGCATTTGATTTCCTGCATATATAATTTAACATTGAATAGTTTTGTAAATGAAATATGAAATGTAATTAATAGTAATTATTTACCTAAAACTTCAGATTCACTTCTACCAACTTCTAATAATGCTTTTCCATAATAAAAATATGGATCAGCCATCTCATCATCTTGCTCGGAATAAATTTGACTAAATAACTGACATGATTCAGAAAGAGCAGTAGCAGCTGCTTGAAAATCTTTAATGTATAAAGACCTTTTCCCTTGCAAAAATAATAAAGTTGCCTTTTTCTTAATTTTCTCTTTTTCTTCTTCGATATTGTTCACATTATCATTATCATTTTTGGTTACTTTTGCATCAGCCTGTGGAGACACTGATACCTCTTCAGGTTTTTCAGATTTAGAATTATCAGCCATGTTTGTTAGTGTTTGCTAAAAGAAAGGAGTAAAAATTAGCATGTGGATTGAGTGACTATATTACTTTTAACGAACTTAATGCCATATTGTGCAATAAGAAATTCTCACGCAGTGTGGTAAAATACATAACACCGAATATTACTTTTAAATTAAAACAAAAAATACAATAATTGAGATCTTAAACTAATATTATATATAAATGTCACCATTGACAGTTTAAAATTAATAATTATGACAAGCATATAAAAAAAAATTATTTTAAGTATATTCAAAAATAACCTAACTTGGTTGTGCGAACAATGTCAACTCATGGTATTTAAAGGGAAAATAATAAAATATGAAGTAAAAAAACTTTTATAAATAAAAATATAATAAATAAAATAAATAAAATTACGTTACCTGATAAATAAAATTCTTTTTAGTTTTCAATGCTATACAAGAATTTTGTGTATAAGAGATCCTCTTCCTCTGGCAAATAATTCCCGGTTTATTTCGTGTCAATAGACTTTTCTGCTTCTCTAAAAATCTTTATACTACAATATTAATCATAAATTCAATTATAATTTTTCCATCATAAATTTCTGTAAAAAACTTTCAATGTCATTTTATTATTATTAAAAAAGTTTTAAAACAAATATAATTTTTTACTTCATAAATTCTGATATGCCATCAAAGCTTTTTTTTTTTATTATTATGAAAAAGAAAAAAATAAAAGTTGTACCTCTTAAAACCATGAAGACAAAATGTCGAACCAATTTATGGCGGTTTTTTTTCCAATTTATAAAAATTTTGGAAAGCCAAAGCGTTTAAAAACATATTAATTTTTTTAAAATCACATAATGAATAAATTAAAATTAAAATTTATATGAAAAAGCCTATGAACTTGTTAATAACTTTTCACATCAGCTCCTAATATTAAAACATTAAAAATTTTTTTTTTTTTTTTACATTTTTAAATTTAAAAATATCAAAAATAATTTTTTTTTTACTAATTCAAACCTTATAATCCGTTATTTTAAACCCTCAGATAAAATTTCATCGTTAAAAAAATTAAAAATTAATTAATTTATTATAAAACTTTAAATTTGTCATCAAAAATTTTATCATACAATCATTTTCCATTAATGGTAATAATTATCATTCGTTTACTTCAAATGGAAAATTCAACCTTAAAAAAAAAAGGTGGTTGTGAAAAATAAGGAGAAAAATAAGGAGAAGAAGAAGAAGAAGAATGAGACACCAAAACAAAATCAAAAGTAAATTTTCATGTTTAGTTACGCGTTGATTGTGAAAAGTTAAAGACGAACATTAAAAATTTAAAAAACATGTGAAAATAAATACGATTTTTAAAAAAAATTTTTTTTTTAAAAAAAAAAAAAAAAAGGAGAATAATAATATGAATACGCACACGGATAATCTACATAAATATGTGTGCGTGAGTGCGTGTGCGTGTGTACCTAAATAAAAAAAAAATCGTTAAAGTTATTACAAAAGGGGAAAGTAAAGGGATGGAACCAACGAGTAGCAATTGCACGATGCAACCAAATATTGCATTTTTATTGATAACGATAATAACGACGATTATTGCAACAGGAATGTTATCAACATCCATAATGACAGAACATTGGGAATATGTCACGTGGGATAAAAATAAATTTAAAAAATTTGATATAAATAATTCGACCGATTTAAACGAGTATAGAATGGAATGGTTAATTGATGGTCAGGTAAATAAATAAATAAATAAATAAATTTTTTTTGTTTAACTATACTTTTTAATATCATTTAAATTATTTTGTTTACAACAAACAAACAAACAAAACAATTATTATTATCATTCCTGATAATTTAAAAAAAAAAAAAAAAATTTATCTTAACGAATTTTCTTACCATTTTCATCAGAAGAAAATTTTTTTAAAAAAACTTTTACTATTTTATGCTGGGGGGAGGGGGCTGAGGGGAGGATGAGGGGATGGAAGGGGGGGGAAAGAAAATCTCCTGCCGTTTTTTCTTTTTAATAATCTTTTTTTTTTGACTTAATTTAACTGTATCAATTCGATTTTTTTTTGTTTTGCTTTTATTCCTCATCCTCCTGCTGCTGTTGTTGTTGTTGTCGTCGTCATCGTCGTTTTTTTTTTCTTTTCCTACATTCTTTTAAATGAAAATTTTATTAATTTTGGTGGAAATTAACATGGGGGGCCGGGTGGAGGGAGATTACGTTAAAATATTTTTAAACGTTTAATTATTAATATATTTTTTTTTTTTTTTTTACAGGTAGCCCAAATTTTTTTAGATTTTCAAACCGATGATGTAAATAATAATGATAATAATAATAATAATAAATCAAAGCCTTCGTTGTTTTTCGTACCAATTAGAGGAGGGATTTGGAAATTTTGTATAACAATTAATGGTAAGTACAAAAATTAATAATCCTCATTAAACAAAAAAATTTTTTTTTTTACATAAATTAATTATTAATTAATTTGATGACGTTTTTCCTTTATCACATACAAAAAATAATTTAAACGAACAATTTAAATTCAAATTAAATTAAATTTATTATTAGAAACCCAATAAAAAAAAAAAATTACGATTCGATTCTTTTTAACGAGAAATAAATGAGTAAAAAAATTTTTTATTTTCGGGGGGGGGGGAAGAAAAAATATTTTATCCTTTACGATAATGATAACCTTTCGAGCATAAATTCCTTTTTTTTTTTTTATTTCTCGTGATAACAACAAGAAAAAGAATATAAATTTTTTTTTTTCTTTAATTCACAAAAAAAAAAAAATTATAATTTATTTTATTTTTAATAATTCATTTAATTAATTAATAATATTGCGTGTTAAATAAATATTAATTTAAAATTTATTTAAAAAAAAAAAAAAAAAAAATTTAAACGTTAACGAAAAGAAGATGGCGGCGAATCTTTTTTTTTTTTCTTTAATATTTCAAACTTTCAACCGAATTTTTACGATTTTAAAATTTAAATAAAAACTAAAATTTTATTTAAAAAAAAAACAAAACCAGTAATAATAATAATAATGATAATTAATAGACGTCATTTAAATAAAAATCCCAAAAGCAAAACAAAATTTTTTTTTTTATCGAATTAATACAAAAAAATTTTTTTATTTTTCATTTATTTGTTTATTATTATTATTATTATCATTATTATTTATTTTTTAACACAAGAAAATCAATAATAAAATGAAAATTGTCGTCGTTTCTAACTGAGTTTTAAAAATAAATAACGGGGAAAAAAAAAATAGTACGACAAAGGGGAAAATTTTTGTTTTTATTTTTTCCCAAAAGATTTTACGTATCAAAAAAAAATCATAATCATTATTATTATTATTATTATTATTATTATTATTAATATTATTTGATACGTTACTTTAATTATAAAAAAATTAGTGTTTAACTTACGATATTTAACGTCTCCATTTTCTTTTAAAAAAAATGAACATTTAATAACTAAATTAAAATTTTTTATATAATTAAACGATTACATTTCGCCCATTATTTTCTTACGTAATAAACAATCATTTAAAATTTTAAATAAGCCCCCCGCGTAACAAATCATCGATATGATTATTTTATCATTATTATCATTTAGTTATTTTAATTAATTTTCTAAACTATTTCTTACTATTAAACTATAAAAATAAAAACCATTCATGAATTTTAATTTTTTTTAAAACCTGAAAAAGAGTAAATTAAACAAAAAATTTTATTATTATTATTATTACTCCTACTATTACTATTATTATTATTATTATTATTTTTTCTTTTACCAGCCATAAACGCCCAAAAATAAAATAAAAAAAAAAGAACGAACGAACGAATTATTTTTTCCCATGCAATAATAATTTTCTTTTATTTTTAAATATTAAAAAAAAAAAAAAAAAAGAAAATTTTTTTTTTTTTTGTAACGTTTACGTGACACACGAAAATTTTCATCCGTCAAAAACCAAAAAGAAAATTTTTTTTTTTTTTTAATGTAAGTGATAATAAAACTATTTTTATTGTTTTTTTTTTTTTTAAATTTTATTATTATTATTATTTCTGAAACATACGCACACAGACTATGAGTTTTCCATTCGGACATGTATGATAATAATTCGAATAATTATGATAAAGTAATTTCTAGAAATGTCTACAACTTCGCCATTTTTTTTTCGTTCCGTTTCGTTTCCCACAAAAATTTTCACTTTTGTTCATTTTATTTCGTCCACCATTTTCACCACGTGCTTTTTTCAGCAGTGGGTGTCATATTTAGTTCGTGGTCGCACCCCGAGGGTAACAATGGGATCGGTATCACCTATTTAGGCACAAAACTAACAACAACCCACGCACTAACCCGTAAAAGAAACGAATAAATTTAACCATCGATTAAAATTTTCAAAAAAGTACTCACGAGTAGGGGTGGTGGTGGTGGTGGTGACGATGATAGAAAGGAAATTTTTCTATATTTAAAAAATAATAATAATACTAATAACAATAAAATAAACACTTATGTCCTATATTAATTACCTAAACTAAAAAACAAATTTTATAATTTTTTTTTAAACTTAATTATTGATGATTATTTTTAATAATAGTGATAATAATAATAATAATAATAATAAATTTTTAATTAATAAATCATTTAAATACAAAAGTTACATAATTACAATATAATAATAATAATTTAAATAATATTATAAAAAAAAAGAACACAAAAAAATTAATATAAAAAAAAAAAAATCAATTTTAAATTGTTAAATAAAAAAGATTAGGGGGAGAGAGGGGGAAAGGGGGAGAGAAAGACAGAGATAGGGGATTTTAAATATGTACGAATAAATAAATATGAGGATGTGGCACAAAATTAATAATAATAATTAAAAATTATCCAAAAACCAAAAGTTAAAAATTTTTTAATTTTTTTTTTTTTTATAATAATAAAAACCAACTGAGAGAAATGATAAGAAAATTCATCGTTTGAATTATTATTATTATTATTATTATTTAATATTGATAACGGGTCAAAATGATAAGAAATGAGAAAAAATCGGTTAGGGTTAAAAAATTAATTATTCGTCTGCTTAATCGTACTTTCGATCCATTTCAACGTGCGAGACAACGTTGATGGCATCATCATCATCATCATCATCATCACCATCATCATCATCATCATCTTCTTCATCATCATCATCATCTTCTTCATCATCATCATCATCTTCTTCATCATCATCATCATCATCTTCATCATCATCATCATTATAATCATCATCATCATCATCATAATCAACAACCGTCAACCGTTCGCACATTCAAAACCAAAGTAATTTAATATCACTAATGATCATCCACACACACATCCAACTTGTTCAAATTAATTCGATTTCCGTTTCCGTTTACTTACAAAATTTTCCATCGACGATTTTCATTCAAAACATCCCTTTTCACAAAACAATCGAACAAACAATTCAATCAATCCAACGAACGATTATCGAATAATAACTCGAACACATAAATATCGATAAATCGAACTTTAACGTGACGTAATAAATAATAATAAAATATAAGGCGACATAATACGATAAAATTAACATCAAATCAAAATGCGAAAAACAAATCGAAAAACAAACAAACAAAACAATTACAAAATATTCGTTCGATCCATCGATCGATCAATCGATCTATCGATCACAATTAATAATATTAATCAAAAAAAAAAAAAAAAAAAAAAAGAAGAAAAAAGTAAATTTTTGCATTTATAATAATATCATAAAAAATTAATAATAATAATGTTAAACAAATAATATTAAAAAAATTTCAAATAGTTAGAGCCGAACGTGATCAAACACGATTTTGTTTGTAAACAATTTTACTACGTTCCTTTATTTAATCATTATTATTATCATCATTAATAGGTTAATAACCTTGACAAATCTTTTCCGAACGTTCTCGACAGCGAGAAAATTTTTTTTGAATAAATAATAATAATAATAATAATAATAATAATAAAAATAAATAACAAAACGAACCGTTCGGTTCACTGTCCAAAAGGCAAGAAAATAAATAAATAAAAAAAAATTAATTTTTTAACCCCGCCATCGCCATTTTTCCTCAATTTTTCCTTCTTCCGAATTTTTCTCATCCGTTTCCGGTACCCCGATGAAACAAGAAAAAAAAACCGGAAAATTTGAATTTGAAAAAAAAACAATCACGAATTATTAAATTCTAGGAAATAAATACACAATAACGTAATTTAATCGATTTCCTCTTTTTTTTCTCTCTTTTCCCCATTTCCGATCACGTGATTAATGGCTTAATAAGATCTAATTAAGCTTAACGTTAATAAATTATTATTTATTTAATTGTTATTATTTTATTTATTTATATTCGATATAGTCATATATTATATATAAATTATACGAATAATTAGTTTTTCGACGGCTTTTTTTTCTTTTTTCTCTTTTACTTCCGGTTCGAAATAAATATTTCGTGAGATAGAATTTGGATTAATGATTGGTTGTGCGATGTGTGAAACTAATTCATAATAATCGTGCGATTATTAATTTTATTTTATTTTTTTTTCACGTACACACACACACATAAAATAATTCCAATATGGCGGACGAAATATTATTATGGCGTTTCCTCTTTCATCTCTACGAAACGTTTTTCTTTATTCGTTTCTTAATAAATGCGAAAACGAATTTAATATTGAAGGTCGTCCTCCGAAACGGAAATAATAAATTAATTTAAATAAGAGAATGATGAGAGGAAATAACCGTAACATTTTTTTTCTTTTGTTTTTTTTCCGACATTTCAATGAATATTGATTTTTCCATATTACTTTAAAATCTTTTTTTTTCCCGTTTTTTTTTTTTTGTTGGTTTTTTTTTTTTTAGAAATTTTCAATTTTTGCGAGGGGACGATGATTGCAGTTAAAGTAAACAAATATTTTTTTGATTGTTTTTTTTTTTTTTTTTTTTTTTTTTTTTTTTTTTGCGTATTTACGCCGCTTAAGATTCCGTTTTGAAATCGGGCAAATCCGTCGGTTTGAAACCCACCCTCGTTTGATATTCTCTCAATTTATTCAAATAATATTGTGCCAAACCGGTTCCCGTTTCTGCGGAATGATTTTCAACGTCATCCTTTGTATGATACGTTTCCGCTCCCGTTTCACCGGAATTCGGAGATCCATCCAATTCCCCTCTTTCTTTTTCAATGCTTCTCAAACCGTCTTCGACGTAATCTCGAAAATATTGAGACGTCGGAGCCAAAAACCATGATAAATCCAAATTCGGATGACGCTTTTTAAATTCGTAAAATTGTAATAAACCTTCTTTGGCCGTTTCTTCGTATGAGATTTTCATGAATATTTCCGAAAGGTAATCGCTCATTCCTTTCGAAAGGCGCACGTTTGACGATTTCCCCGTGACGGGTTGAGATCTCAACAATCGTTTCAAATATGCGGCAAGTTCGGATGCGCAAGAATTTTCAATTTTTTTCAAATACAAAAACACGTCTTTCCCTTTTAACGTGACAAATGTCAACAACAAAGTTTTCACCGCTTTCAAGGGCATCATCGATGGCCTGTCTTTCCACGTGTGTTTCGGGTAAGCGTGGAAAAACAAATTGCATTCGTAAAAAACTTCGTTGAGATCCAACGATTCCAACCAATTCGAATTGGGTTTCTTTATTAAAACGCAGACTTTTATAAGGCATTTGGATGCCAAATCTCCCATTTTTGGATCCTCGTGAGGATTTCCCACGATGTCGTATAATAATTTCAATATGGCGCACGTCAAGTTCGTATGATCGGAATCTTCAATGATTTTCACGACGAAAATATTTATCCACTTGTTGTATCCGCCTTCGGCAAATTTCGCCGTTTTATCTTCAACGAGTATGTACAAAAGCTCTCTCAAAACCATTTGCAAATGATGAACTTTGACAATCACACCCATTGAAGTTTTTTTACCAAAAATATCGTCCAATATTCTGAACACCATTCTGTAGGTTTGGGGCAATATTAAACCGTATTTTTCTAACGTGTAAGAATTGAGGAGTTTGAGTTGAGTCGTCAAACTATCCATTATGGAATCCGCATATGTTGTCAATGTACTGCGAGCTTGAGTTTCTAAAACGGCTCGGACTTTTGAAGAGGCTTGAAAAGCAACGTTGATGTTCGTACTTCCCAATTCTCTAATGACCTTGTGAACTTCTGAATCTTCAGCTGTTTCAGGAACGACAACAGGCGGAGTAAAAGGCTTACTCATTTTCGCTGCTATTCGTTCTGGTATTTGTATGGGGGAATTGAGAAAACTATCGTCAATTTCGATTAAATCCATTTTGGGCATAGTCGGCTCTGGTACCGCTAAATCTTTAAAAAAGTTTTGTTCGGGAATTTGATGGCGCTGCTTTTGAGCGCTTTGAGGACGTATTTCTGTGGTATCCTCTTCTTTTTCAGTATTAACAGTCTCGTAAGTGGTATTTAATTTAGTTTCCGGAGATTTTTCCTTTTCTCTTTCTCTTTCTCTTTCTCTTTCCCTTTCTCTTTCCCTTTCCTTTTCCTTTTCCTTTTCTTTTTCTTTTAACTCTAATTTTGACGCTAACGTTGAGGCAGGCTTGGCTTTTGATGCTCTTTTTATCCTTTCTTCTAACAAAGACAAATCTTTTTCAGATATTTGTCCTATCAACTTGTAAACTTTTTCTCCTTCTATATACCACGCTTGAACGATAGCGTTTAAAGCAGCGCTTCTTACGGAATGATCACGATCGGCTATTTGTTTCGATATTTCTTTGAGAGCAATAGAAGGATTCGGCTGACAAACGGTCATGCCAAATTCTTCTATCAAGTTTCCCAACTCTTCCAAACACTCGGCTCTTAAACGTGCGTTTTTCGTTTTAAGACCTTCAATAACAAGAGCAAATATTTTTCCGGGGGAATACATTTTGGACAATTGCTTGAATATAACCTTCACTCTATCCCTAACGGCATCTTTGGGATCTCCTATTTTTAGCACTAAATACGGTATAAAAGAAATAGCTTCAAAATCCGATACCGAATATCCCTTATCGATAAGAGATGAAAATATGTTTTGTATGTAATCCAAGCCTTTTAGTATTACCGAAGGATTAGTGTCGAAAAACCTTAACGTCATCCATTTTAAAATAAGATCCAAATTGGAAATTATAGCATCCACGTTATTTAAGTCTTCGTTTAAAGAATCAATCGCTTTTAAGTGTAATTTAAAATTCGAATGAAACATATTTTCAGTTAATGTTTTGTTAAAACCTGCCGCTGTCACTTGTTCTTTTAATAACTCGACAAATTCTGGACGAGGCGTCGTGAAATTCCATTTTAAAGTTTTAAGCTTCTGTTCGTCCACTAGTCGCTGATTTTTCAAGTTGTTTACGGACATAAGAGGCGAAACATCGACATCATCATCTTTTTTCTTAGATACCGGTTTTGCTATTGTTGGACCGGTTGATTTTTTAATTTTTGACACCGAAGCGACTTTTTTAGGTGGAACCGTCTTTGGTGGAGTTTTCTGTGTGGTAGGAGCCGCATCCGCTTTGGGTTTTACAACTTTTGCATTAGTATTGGAAGGCGCAGAGGCAGCAGGCTTCGGGGCAGGTGGAGGCGGTTGAAATTTTACTACGACCGCTTTTTCACTGCACTCCTTTATTTTGTTTAATTTCAAATTGTCTATGTCAGGCATAAATGGTAAAAGTCCTTTTTCTCCCACCACCTTCATTACAGTTCCAAGCGCCTCCGCTGAATTATCTCGAACAGTGGGATCTGACTCATTTAAAGTTTTAAGTAGAGCACTTGCCAAGGCTTTCAACAATTTTTTATTAAAAACGGTGGGCGGACATTTACAAAAACATCGAGCTAAGAAAGAAGCAGTTTCCGCTTTAACCGCTGGATTTTTATTTTCCAATGCTTTTATTACATCTTCTTGTATGGCATCTAATGTCGTGACAGGAAAAATACCATCAACAGCCTCACGCAAAGGAGCAACTACGTTAGCTTTTTTTTCTTTAAACTTTTCAAGAAGTTGGGGCAAAACAGTAGCCGCATATGGGAAAAAATTTTTTTTCAATCCGATAGCTAACCTTGCCATGCATTTAACAGCCACACTGACCACCATGACATTCGAATCTTTTGTTATTACTTTAAGAATAGCTCTCACTAAATCAGAATAGTCACCCTTTTCAAATTTAGGATAATCTAATAATTTTTCAACAGCATCTATGGCTTCTTTTCTTTCCTGCCACTTTTTCGCCTCTATTTTTTCATTAAAATCGTGTGGGATTTGATCAAGAACGTTGATTGGGTCCATAAGATCGTACGGATCAACATTACAATTTTCTGCGTCGTTTTCCAAAACTGCTTCGTTATCTTTTCCTTCCTCTTTTTCAGCAGCTAATTTAGCCTGGCGCACTTGTTGCGATCGCAAAAATCTTGTTGGAGTCGGTTTGTCCCCTCTAACTTTTTCAAATTCAGTTTCTAAATCACTTAAATGAATTGACTTTAAAGTAGATAATTGAGGTTTTATAGCGTCTTTGATCCAACGAAATATTTCTATTGCTAACGCTTTGGTTTCATCACGAACATTTTTATCTCTATCTTCTAAAAGGGGGGGTAGTAGTTTAACAATGGGTTTAATAGTTATAATTTTCGAACCGAATTCTTTTAAAGCTAAAGAAAGAGTCGCCGAACAAGCAGCAACAATCTTTGGATTCTTGTGTTCCATTCCTTTTAAAAGTTCTTCAACGACTTGTTCTTGCTTTTCTATTTCTATGTACATAAGAGTAATTTGTACTGCTAAATCTTTTGTTTTTGCTTTAGGAGCTGCGATACACTTATTAATAATAACAGGCATTATATCTTTAACTGCTTTTGATGCTACTCCTGCATTTTGAACAAAGAAAAAAACTGCTTCCAATCCCTTCTCTTGAGCTGCAGCGTTTGTGTCTTTAACAAATTTACTCAGCAGGCCTATATATTGATTAAAAATAGGTGCTTTTTCATCTTCCTCTTCTTCGAATAATTTAGCAAGTTCCGAATAACCGTGGAGCCTGGCTTTCCAAAGTTTATGAACACAGCGCTCTTCAAGAGGCAATTTAATAAAATCTGTGTCATCACTCATTTTTTTTTTTTTTTCTTTAACTTTTAATACTAAAAAAAAAAAAAAAAAGGATTTATTACATTATTAATTAATTGCAGAGGAGGAACATTTACTTTTGGAAAATACAGGATTTCCTAAAAATTTATGCACCAATTATTTGAAGCTTGATAAAACAAAAGGAAAAGGTTTAAAAACGGATCGTCAGCACAGTAAGATAAAAAAAAAACTTTTTTTTTTAAAATCAAATTTAAACCCGATTAGAAAATTTTTTTTCAACTTAAAAAAAAAAAATTTTTTCAGGAATGCAAAATTTATGTATTTCATGTGCACTGGTCTGTCTAATTATTCTAGGTTCATCAGCTTTGGTAGGAATTTTTGGAATAACAAAACGACAAATCAGTGCAATATTAGTAACAGGTGTCATGTACTTATTAGCAGGTAAGACTTGGCAAGATTCAAATTTTCTCCACTTAAAACACATAATAAAAATAATTTAAATGAAATAAACTCACCGAATAAAAACAAAAAAAGAATAAATAGTTGTATAAATAATTTTTTTTTTTTTTTTTTTTTTCCAATTTATGGTTTTTTCATTTTAAACTACTTCACCATTTATCACATCTGAAATGAAAAAAAAAAACACAATTAAAAAATTTAAATTTAAATTCTTAAAATAGAGTTATTCGTTTTTTTTAAAAAGAATTTTAACAAAAAAACATATTTTTCAGCTATTTTTGCAACATTTTCACTTATGATAATTAATTTTAAACAAACTCAGAGAAAAATAAATTCTTTTAATGGTAGTGAATCACATGAATTATTGGCCGAAGGAGTCGTGGCATCCAATTATACTTTCGATAAAAATTTAAACATGAAAAAAATTAATAAGTATCTCGATGCAAGGTAAATGAATATCAATTTTTAGCATTAAATGTTTCCAGATAAAATAGTATTAAAAATTGTAATTGTTATTTATTTTTCTCACAAACAGAGTTTTCCTAACTGGATGGAGTTTATATTTGGGCTGGGGAGGTACTGGAATGTGCCTGCTAGTAAGTATGTTATGGATAATATTATCGAAAATAATGAGATACAATTCTTTTAATATGTTGTTTATAACATAGGAAAAATATTTTACTATGTAACAAAATATTACATTTACAAGTTAATTAAAATAAAATTAATAAATATATATATATTATTTAATTCATTCAACAATAAAGATTAATAAAACTTGTTGTCTTGTATGAACGACAACATACATAACAAAATTTACATTCGTTTACAATTTTTCCAAGTTATTTTTTTTTTTAAATACTTGGATTTTGTAATGTTTAAAAAGTAATTATTTAATTTATAAAAAAGTCATTCTTATTAACTTGGTCATTGAAAGAAGAATAATAGATTGATTGTATGTTTCAATCATTGAACCCATTTAATTAAACAATGTGAAATTCATGATCATACACTACTATTAAATTTAGTTCAGCTCAATTTGTTCCTACCAATTAAATTAAGTTAAAAATAAAAGAAAACCATCCTAATAATTAAATACCGTTAGGTTTTTTAAGTAACTTAATTGCAAGCCTTTTATAAAAAATTGAAATATGAGTCACATTCAAAATTGCAATTAATTATAGACGATAGTAAAACACAATAGTGTTAAGATAAATTTATGATAAATGTGTAAAAATATAAGAAATTAAATATCATTACGCACAAGATTAACCTTGATTAAAATAGCCTTAACTTGTCAAAACAAGCTAATAAAACTAATACATATTCGTTCAATAAGAGTAAACTAAATGTCATAATGGCCGTTATTTTGGTTATTGTAACTAATGCGCCATTATTATCAACCAAAGCTTAATTTGAGTTTCAAAAAAAAAAAAAAAAACTTGCAAAACATTATAATACTAATATGAGAAACAAAGAAATATTTTTAAACGCTTATTTAATGTTTATATTACTTCATTTGAAAATAATTTAGTGAAATATTACTAAAAAAAAAAAAAAATAACTAACCTATTTTTTTTTTTCAAACAAAAATCAAAGAAGCCGAAAATATTATAAATCGTAAAGAAAAGAACATTCACGGCAAAAAAAAACAGTAACTTTTAATACGAAAATAATTTTAAATAAAATTTAAAACATATCAACAAACTTAATTTTTTTTTTGTCTAATCAAACGCTTTTAAATGAAAACGAAAAATAATTTCAGTGTAGGTTGTCATAATGTAACGAAATTTTTTGAAACTTTTGTGTTTGTGAAACAATTTACGCGATTGGTTGAAACGGAGTCACATGAATAAAACTATCATGGCAGTCTTCAAGACAGTAAAATTAAAATTTTGATATTGAAAGTTTACATATTTTCTTATTCAAATGATTGGTTTAACTTTCTATAGTTTTTTTCCTCAATTAATTATCGGGGTCAATTTATTTTTTTGTAATTTGCAATGTCAATGACGACTGCCATACAACACAGTTATAATGAAGAAGATGTTTCAGAATGTGTAGATTGGCAACTACCACTCTCGTTCGTAAAAAAACGTCATACTGAAAATATTGAAGGAGAAAGCGCAACCACTCAAACATGGAGAATGAAAGAAAGAGTAAGAAACCTTTCTCCCAAAAATTAAATTAAAATTTGAAATATTTGAATTTTCATTTTTTAATGCGTATAAAACTTTTATATTTACCTCATTTGTTTTTCTTTACTTTTAGAAAACAAGCATGGCTTTACCACAATGACTTAATAAATTTTCTCTATCGCCTATTTTTTTTATTTTATTTTTTCGGAAGTCTCTTATTATTTAATAATAGAACGTATTAAAAAGAAAAGAAAATCCTATGTACCTATTTTTTAGTGTAAAAAATAATTACCATTTAAAAAAATTTAAAATTTTGTGATTTATTCATCCAAAACCCTGTGAAATTTCTAATGTATTTTTACAGATGAAAACAGTCAGTGTGGCTTTGGTATTGTGTTTGAATGTTGGAGTGGACCCACCAGATATTGTAAAAACTCAGCCTTGTGCAAGACTGGAATGTTGGATAGGTAAAATTTATTTATAAGAAGTAAATTACAATTTAATTACAATAATTTAATATAAAAGTATATTTTATTTTCTCTTTAATTTTTAGATCCATTATCTATGAGTTCACAGAAAGCTTTAGAAACTATCGGTGGAAATCTTCAAAAACAATATGAAAAATGGCAACCAAGAGCCAGGTATAAGCAAAGTCTTGATCCTACTGTTGATGAAGTTAAAAGATTATGTACTTCTTTAAGAAGAAATGCAAAAGATGAAAGAGTTTTGTTTCACTATAATGGCCATGGAGTTCCAAAACCTACAACAAATGGTGAAATATGGGTTTTTAACAGAGTAAATTTTTATAGTACCATTATAAATTAATGTTTCCAAAAAATTTTTTAATAATTAAAATTAATAATAATAAATTTTTAGACTTACACCCAATATATTCCTCTCAGCATTTTTGATTTACAAACATGGATGGGAACTCCTTCAATTTATGTTTATGATTGTTCAAATGCTGGTACAATAGTTTCTTCATTTAAACAATTTGCAGATCAACATGAAAAAGAATATGAGGTATTTAAATACAATTTAAATTTCAACTTATTTTAATAAAAGGCATATTTTTGTATAATTTTTTTTTTACTTTTAGGTTGCTGCAAATCAAAACAGAGGAACTTCTGGATCTATTCCAAGTTTTAAAAACTGTATTCAGCTGGCATCATGTGCAGCTAATCAAGTACTGCCGATGAACCCAGATCTTCCAGCTGATATTTTTACTTCTTGCTTGACAACTCCTATTAAAATAGCTCTTAGATGGTAAAAAAAAAAAATTTTTTAATTACTTTTTTTAAAAATATAAATCTTTTATTTCATTAGTTTTGTACTTTCTTAGGTTTGTTATGCAAACAACTTCAAAATTAGTTCCAAAAATTACGTTGGATTTAATTGATAGAATTCCTGGTCAATTAAATGATCGACGAACTATGTTGGGAGAATTAAACTGGATTTTTACTGCAATAACAGACACAATAGCCTGGAACACATTACCCAGAGGCAAATATTCTTATAGGCTAAAATATTATCGGAAAACGCTAAAAAAAAATTTTTTTTTTAATTTTTAAAATATTTTATTTTAGATTTATTTCAAAAATTATTTAGACAGGATTTACTTGTTGCTAGTCTTTTTAGGAATTTTTTGCTAGCTGAAAGAATAATGAGATCATACGATTGTACACCAGTATCTTCTCCAAAATTACCTTCAACCTATCAGGTAGGGTAATAAACTTTCATTTTGATTTTAATTATTACGATAAATGTTAAAAAATAAATCATTTGATTAGCATCCAATGTGGCAAGCATGGGATTTAGCATTAGATTTGTGTTTGGCTCAATTACCGGGGATTTTAGAAAACGATGAACCATTTGTGCATTCACCATTTTTCGAAGAGCAATTGACAGCTTTTCAAGTGTGGTTGGATCTTGGAGGAGAACATAGAAACCCTCCTGAACAACTTCCTATAGTTTTGCAGGTATTTTCATTGTAAAAAAAAATTATTTGTTAAAATTATTCTGGTGTGAGAATACAAAAATTACATGCCTTACAGGTTCTTTTAAGTCAAGTTCACAGATTAAGAGCTCTGGAGCTTTTGGGACGTTTTTTGGATTTAGGACCTTGGGCTGTAAATTTAGCTTTATCCGTGGGTATATTTCCATATGTACTAAAATTGCTTCAGAGTTCAGCAAGAGAATTGAGACCCCTGTTGGTATTCATCTGGGCAAAAATTTTAGCTGTTGATAGTGTATGACTTTCATATTTCCTTAACACCCTACATTATTATTTTCACAATAATTTAACATTAATTTTTTTTACAGACGTGTCAGTCAGATCTTGTTAGAGATAACGGACATAAATACTTTTTATCAGTCTTACAAGATACCAGTGTACCTGTAAGAAATTTATTTGAATGATTAACTCATGTAAATTTTTAAGCCATTTATACAAATCGTTCAATTTTTATTTATATTCTAGAGTGAACATAGAACTCTCTCTGCTTTTGTACTTGCGTCTATTGTAAACAATTATCAAGCGGGCCAAGAAGCTGGTCTGCAAGGTTCTTTAGTATCAATATGTCTTGAGCAATTGAATGATCCAAATCCGTTGTTACGTCAATGGGTATCAGTTTGTTTGGCTAGATTGTGGACTAATTACGATCGAGCTAGGTGGTGTGGAGTTAGAGACATTGCTCACGAAAAACTTTATGCTTTATTACAAGACAGTGAACCCGAAGTAGGTTTCTTAATAATTTAATTTCATCTTATAAATAAAAAAAAAAAATGTGTATAATTGATTAATTTTAATTTAAGGTCCGCGCTGCGGCTGTATACGCACTTGGAACCTTTATAAGCTCAGTTTTGGATAGAACGGAACATGCTAATTCAATTGATCACAGTGTGGCCACCATGCTTCTTAATGTTGTATCTTTAGATATGTCTCCGTTAGTGCGACAAGAACTTATAGTAGCATTACAATGGATGATACTACTATTTGAAAATTCTTTTATTTCCGTGGCATTGGCTGAAGAATGTAAAAATAAAGAAAGTCCTCTCAGTCCAAATATCGTAGTTGTTAATGGTACCTCACATATTATTCAATTCTGACAAATTTATAGTTGGTTGTACCTTAGATTGAAAATCATATTTTTTTTTTTTAAATAGATTTATTGCTCTCACCGCAGTCCGGTTTAAAAAGAATAGCTTCTAGAGATAGATTGGGTAAAATTTTGCCATCAAATAGTAATTACGATGGAACAGCCGTAGCTGTAGATTTGTTACCCTCTTCCTCCATCGACAGAATAAAAAGAGTGTCTTCTAGTTCATCGATAAGTAGTTTAGGTAAAACAATTTTTTCATATACAAAACTTTTTTGTTAATCGCACGTAATATTTATAAAACATAACTTTTTTTTTTTTTTTTTTTAAATTAAAGGTTACAATCCTAATACTTCCTTACATCAAATGCCGTTCGGAAGCATTTATACAAAATTATGGTACGGTTTAACCAGTTTAGAAAATGATCCATATCCTGCCGTTAGGAAAATGGCACGGACGGTTGTAGACAAAATAAGAGAGCAAATTCAAGTTTTAGGCCGGGAACCTCATGCAAGTAACAAAGACGTTCACGACACAAAAACGTCGTCTGTTAGTTTGCCTCCGTCTCCTTCCAACAGAACATCTTATCTCACGTAATAAAAACGTCTTACTTTAAATTAATTACTTTATCGAAAACAAAATTTTCTCAACTTAATTTGTTTTTTTACAGAGAAGACTCCCCGCCATCTTTAATTACCGGTTCAGCGTCAGATTTAAATAAATTAGCAATCAGGTCTGCGACGCATATAAGTTTAAAAATAAGAAAAAATATGCCCAACACAATTAATGAAGAATCCGATGAATCTTCTAATACGAAAAAACCGTTGGTGAGCACACAATTCGTAGAATGGAGTTCTAAATATTTTGCTCAACCTATAATGGGAATACACGATGAAAATGATTTAGAATCTAAGTCTTATTACGAAAAAGAATGGAGGTGAATAATTATTTTCTAGTGATTTCATTCCGTAATCGATTTATCTTTAAAAAAAAAAAAAGTTTTAATTAATTTTCTTTGTTTTGATTTTTTTTTTTTAGGTACTTAAGAAACGCTTCTCTGAGAAATGACTGCAAAGAAGAGCAAAAAAAAATTTTGAACGGTAGATTAGAGCATCAGATTTTCAACAGCAGAAGTCCTGATTCTCCTAACGTTATTATGTTTCATCCCTACGAAACCCATTTGGCAGTGGCAGCAAAGGATTATTACGGGTGATTATCAACGAAAAATTTTATTTTTCTCTTTTTTTAAAGTAAAATACATTTCGAAAAATTTTCAAACAGGATTTGGGATTGGAACTCTGGCTCAAAATTATGTTATTGCTCAAACAAAGCCGCGAAAGGATCCAGAATAACCGCAATGCAATTCGTCAACGTTCACGATGTCACGCTTTTATTGAACGGATCCGACGACGGTACTGTTCGCCTTTGGTCAAATTATTTGCCGCGAGAAAACAGAGAACCGGAGTTGGTGACCGCGTGGCAAGCCCTGCCCGATGTGACGCCATCAAACAGATCCGTTAACGGTGAGATTATTTAAAAAAAATTTATTTGAAAAAAAAAAAAAGTTATGGATTTAAAAATTTACGATTGAATTCCACAGGCGGAGCGGGTATCGTAATGGTATGGCAACAGGAATCGCAGCAATTGGTCGTTGCGGGCGACACTTCGAAAATCAGGTTTTGGGATGCAGAAAAAGAATTGAAAATAGTCGATTTGCACACGGGAACCGAATCTTGCGTCACGAGCATTTCTTCGGATCCATCTTGTAAGACTTGGAAAAAAAATAATAAATAATTTTATTTATTATTACAAAAGTAAACGATCGGGGAAAAAAAAAAAAAATGTTTGTTTCAGGTTCTAACTTGGTTGTCGTCGGATGCGGAGACGGATCCGTACGATTGTTCGATCGAAGATTATCTCCTCAAGATGCGAGAGTTATGACGTGGAGAGAACATTCTGCGTGGGTTGTCGGCGTTCATTTGAAAGCCAAATCCCCGGAGGAAGGGCGGCTTATCAGTGGATGGTAATCGATCGATCGATAAAATCATTTCTTTTAAAAAAAAAATGTTTTTTTTTTTTTCCAATACTAATCGAAATTGGTTTATTTTTAGCGTTGCCGGAGACGTGAGATTTTTCGACATAAGGAAAAACACGTCGGTGTGCACGTGTCAAACGTCACACGGTATGACGACCATGGCTGTTCATAACATGACTGAAATATTTTGTTGGTGAGTAAAATAAATAGTAGATGCATGTAACGAAAAAGAAAGAAAGGAATTTCGTAATTTCTTAATTTTTTTATCCAGCGGTTCAGTGAGTCAATTCATATCAGTGTACAAAACGACGGGAACGGAATTGAACGTGATTAAATATCACGAGGGTTTTATGGGTTCCAGAATCGGAACCGTGAGCTGTTTATCACTTCACCCGTACAGAGTTGCTTTGGCTGCAGGCTCTGTCGACTGCACATTGAGTGTCTTTTCCGGTGATCCGAAAAGATGACATTCGACCTCCTACGCCAACGTTTTCAATATCACCTCAACCTGATAATGTTTTTTCTGCTAATCTTAAATTCCTTATTCCATTTCATTTGTTTGTCAATCGTTGTGTTGTCCAGAAATCTTTTACGCCAAGCTTTCAAAAAAAAAAAAAAACTATATATATAGCAATGATGATAATAATAATAATTAGTGAAATTTAGCTTTAAGAAAAAAACAAAAAAAAAAAAAAAAAAAACAGATAGCGTCAGAAATGATTATTATTATTATTTATTTTTCAAATCGTAAAATCCGGTGATTAAAATGAAAAGGTTACAAATTTATTATTATTATTATTATTATTATTATTATTATCATTTTTATATGGGTTGTTGTGTTGTCGGGTTCAACTTGGAAAAATAATAATAATTTTCTTTAAGAAAAAAAAAAATAAACACGCGCACATGTCAAAGGTTTGATTATATTTTCGTTTCTCGTAATTTTTTTTAAAGTTTTTTATTCGGTGCGTGTGCGTGTGCGCGGCATAGTAGATTTATTCATTATTTTTTTTTGTAGTGCAATCAGAGATACACACACATATATATATTTCCCCGCCCCCCCGTTTGTAGTTTTTCCTCATTCATCTGAAATGTTTTTGTTTTTTTTTTTATTATATTTTTATTATTATTATTACTATTTTTTTTTTTTAATTCGTTGCAATCTCAATATTTTATTATTATTATTATTATTATTTCTTCAAGTATAATAATCGAAAAATGTAACGCACACATATTTTTTTTTTTGTCGAGGGGTTCCCCTCTAGTACGTATGGCGGGAAAAACAAAAAAAAAAAAAAACAAAGAGAAAAAAAAACATGTAAATGTTTCCAGATAAATTTAAAAAATTTTATTTTTTTTATTTTTTACACTTTATTGTTTTATTATTATTATTATTACTACTACCTATTTTTTTTATTTGTTATTTCAGTAAAATATAAAAATCGTAGAATTTATTTAATTATATAAATGAATTTAAAAACAAAAAAAAAAGTTAGTTTGAATTAATTAGAGAGAAAAAGAAAAATTTGTGCCATAAAAAAATTTTTTTTATTAAATTTTTTTTTAATTTAAAACCCAAATTAATTAATCTTTTCTCCCCACTCCCCCACCCCCCCATCTTTTTCTTTTCTCAATGGGATTCACAAAACAGTCGTAATAAAATTTACGATCTTAGTACGATCGATAAACGTTTACAACAACAATAATAATAAAAATAACGATAGGGAATGAATGAATGAATGAATGAATGTTTGATAAAGGTATAATTATCAGATTAACTTTATTTACAATTGTTTACTCCTCCCCTCTTCCCCGCCCCCTCATTTTTTTTTTTAAATCTCTTTTTGTTGTTATCATCATCATTATTTTATTATTATTATTATTATTTTTTCTTGTATATTAAATAATGTAAATTTTTTTTTCTTCATTTCCAAATTTTTTTAAAAATTAATTATATAATTTGTATATACATAAATAAATAAATAAATAAATAAAATTTGTGCACAAAAATTTATTGATAAAAATTTTTATTAGAAATAAATAAATATATAATATAAATTTAATATATTTATATTTTAAAGGGTATTTTCCTTACTAAAACAAATATTTCTCTCTTTCTCTCTCCCTCCCCCCTCTTTTTCCATCTTTTATCTCTCTCTCCCCCCACCCTTTGATTCCAGGTAATTAAAAATTAACTCAAAAAAAAAACTTATTCATTGGTAAAAAAAATTTTTCTTTAATAATAATAAAAAAAATATTTTTTTAAAAACTACAATAATCGTTACATTAAACAATAATAATAATAATAATAATAATAATAATAATAATTATATAAAAAATATTAATAATAATAATGATGATATCAATAATAAACGAATCAAAAGTTTTTTTTTGTGTGTGTGTGTAAAAGCACTCCCCCGCGTTTTCTTTACCAAATTTCTCCATCTTCGTGAAATTCCGACCACGAGAAATCCTTTTGCCCTTCCATCAAATCAACAAATGCCGAGTCGTTTAAACCTTTTAGTAATTTTTGAAAAGGTTCGTACCTTTCCACGGTTTTCCTATCGCCGACGACGACGAGTTTTCTTTTGGCTCTCGTCACCGTCACCGTGACCCGTTTCAAATCGTTGAGCAATTCAGATTTTGATATTTCGCTGCTGCTGCTGCTGCTGCCGTTCCATCGATTTTCTTTTCCGCACGAGAAAAATATCATTTCCTTATCCCGACCCTGATACTGATCAACCGTGTTGAGTTCGACGTTGTTCAAATTCGAACCTCGTAATTTTTTTTTCAACAATGCTATCTGATCTGCAAATGGCGCTATGACTCCCACATCCGTTTCCGACGTACCAAATTCCAACGAACTTTTAATGAGTTTTTTTATTATGTTCGATTCCAGAGCGCTCGAACGCTCGTTTTTCTTATTTTCCAAAGTTTTTCCGCGGGAAAAATAATTCGACGTGTTCACGAAGACGACGGATTTATCCAGGTTCGGTGAAAAAACGTCTCTGATCCATTCTTGCAATTTATCGTAAGATTCTTCGTTTCGAATGTTTAGAGTCGCGTTGGCAACTTTATCGTCTGCACATTCGAGCAATCCGCCATAGGCCAAATAATTTGCCAGGGAATTTATGCAACTGTTCATTCTGTATTGATATTTTAATTTCACGACCGTGTTTTCGTTCGACAAACGATCGAACAAACTCTCGCTCATTCCGGATTCTTTGGCTTCCAAATTTCTAACTATGGGAGGAAGTTGATCTTCGTCTCCGACGAGTATAAATTTGTCGGAGCAAAATAACGGTCGCAGTATTTCCGATTGAAGAACTTGACTGCTTTCGTCCACTATGCAAACGTCGAATTTTTTTTTCGCTATGAAATCCGAGTCTAGGCCCAGACAAGTCGACGCTATGACTTTTCTATCGTATAATTTTCTAACGTCTTCCGCGCTCCCGCAATTTTCTATGAGTTTCGAAAAGGATTTGTCGTGTAGGATTTTCTTTATGGATTTCAAAGGTCCCAAACGTAAATACTCGACGTCGCTCAATCTCAGCAATATGTTATCGACCGATGAATGAGTGTGTCCGGCAATCAAAACGGTTTTTCCCAACGCTAAAAATACTTTGACCAGCGAAGCCGTTGTTTCCGTTTTTCCAGTTCCCGGAGGACCTTTGATTAATAAATATTCGTTGCACAAAATCGATTTGACGACGGCTTTTTGCTGTTCCTTATTTAATTTCTTCAATATTTTAAAACAGTTGTCTTTGAATGTTTTCTTATTAAATTTTTCCTCGAATTTCGGAGCCTTTTTATCGATGACGATTTCTCTGAGATTTTCGTGTTCTTCGTTCAACAACCTTCCCAAATTGCTCAAGTGCAAATTGAGAAAATTAAATTTAAAACTCGTCACCTTGTAAACATTCGACGATTCTTTTAATTTTTTATCAATCGTTAACGTGATTGTTGTACTCGTGAAATCCGCAATTCTACCCGCACCTACCCTTTCGTTTTTATCATTGATGACGTGCACGAAAGTTTCGGTCGCAAGAATTTTTTCAAATTTCTCGATGGCACTTCCTCCCACGAACACGCACTTGAAACCTTCGCCTAAAATTTCCACCTGAGAATTTAATTTTAAATTAGTTAATTCCGCATTTTCGGCGTCTTTCTGGGACTCGTCGCCGAATTCGAGCCACAGCATTTTATTCCATTCGTTGAAATAATTCAAATGCGATGGTTTTATGTCGGGTGTGTCCAAACCTCTCAACGGATGAGTTTCGTAATAATTTTCGGATTTCAAATAACTCGTGCAAACCCTCAGATAAGGACACTTGTTGCACGACGATATGTTTCTCACGGGTTCCGGAAGTTCGTGGTTTTTTAATGTTTTGTAATAGCCGATCAAACGATTTCTTAAAAGTAATAAATTACGAATTTCATCCCTGCTCGGTACGATTTCCTCCATTATCCCTTCTTTTAAGTACAATAATAAACCCGACTCGACATCCCTTCCCATTTCATTCATTAACAAAACGTAGAGAATCAGTTGACTTTTGTGAGCGTTCGAAAACGATGCTTTTCCGGTTTTCAATTCCAAAGGAGCAACTCTTTCCTTGTTTTTCGATTTGATTTTTACCGTCACGTCGATCCTTCCTTGAAGTCCTAAATTCGGGGATTTTATAAGTTCTTCGATGTCTAAAATCTCTTCTATTCCTCCTGCGAAATTTTTACCGACGGGTTTTCGTTTCCCCTTCATGTAAACATCGAGAAAATCTCGAACGGACGGCGCAAAACTTTCAATTTCTCTTTCTATTTCCTCCGATTTCATGCCGCTAAAATAGAAATCTAGCAAGTAGTCGTGGGATCCTAAAAAATCCGACACCATTTCCTTGACGTTCTCGTCCGTGCACGAACGGGTTTTTAAACATTTTTGAAAAAATTCGTGAATCATGCGTCCGATAAGCATTTTCTGATTCGAACCGGGTTCCATTCCTTTGTAAAAATAATTGAAAAGTCCTTGCCTCATGCAAAACATGGCACTCACCAAAGAAGTGGATGAAACGAAATTGTCCGAATTTAAAATAATGTATCCTGTTTTGTTGTTAACGATCCAACCGTCATCGGATAGTTTGGCTTGTATAACCACCACATCGTGCAGGGAAACCAATGAAAACGTCCAAACGTCTCGCAGTCGACAAATTCCTTTTTGTCCCGATTTGACATCTTCAACCTCGAGAACTTGTTCGCACCGTCCGGCAGTCACTACAGCAAATTTCAAAATTTTGCATTTGAGGGGTTTTTCGAAATTCAAATCGGAGAAGGTCGTGCACCAATTGTTTTCATCCGATGATTGCGAACAATTTTCCGTTAAAACGTTTTTTTCAGATTTTTCTTTTTTCGGACTTAGAAATGGATTATTTTCGAAATCTTCGAAAAAAATACCGTCTAAATGATCTTGATACTGATTTTCTTTATCGACATCTTTGTTTGATGCTGCATTCGACGATCCACATTCGAAAACGTTTTCAAAATTTTCAGCAAATATATCCGGACTGCAAAATGTAGGTTCCAATGAAATTTTTTTGACGGGCGACTCACAATTTTCATCGTTGATTTCTCTTTTCCTTTTACACTCCTGGGGAGGTGAATTATTTCGCTTGACATTTGTCTGTTTTGTCCAGAAAGCGCTGAGCTGTGACTGTTTAAGTTTTCGAGGAGGTTTATGATTTTCTTTCATGATTGACCCATAAGCGATTTTTGACGAATGTAGTAACCTATTCTTTCATCCCTTGTTTTTCCACCCTGCTTTTTTGTTTCTTCTTCTTTCTTCTTCTCCACTAATTTTTCCTTCACTCTTTCAAATTCTTGCAGATCATCAATCTTTAATTCGATTCTCGTTGGACTTCTTCGTATCATTTTTAGCTTCAACTGACCTGCAGAATATCGAATTCAATTAGAAACTTCAAATAATGGCGGAAAATAATAATTTTTTTTTTACAACAAGCTATATCAATTATTATATATAAAATAAAAACCACGTAAAAGTTATAAAAAATGTGCATTTAAAATTTTTTTGTTTTTAAAAAAAAAATTTCTTAAATTAATAAGTAATTTATGTGGAACCCGCCGAATCTAATGAAAAACATTTACAACAACACCCGGTCACTGGGCATTCCGAATGCTTTTCAAACCAATTATTTATGTGTCCAGCATGACCTCCGTGCCTGCAACTTTGACACCACGTAAACCAAGATGCCAAATTCGATACTTTTTTACTTGAGAAAGATTCGTTCAGCGGAGTTCCCATGTGAGCCAAACAAATAGCGCATCGTGGCAACGGTTTCCTGCAGTTCGGACAACTCGACATTTTTAATTTATTATTATTTGGCCCGACTCTGGGATATTGAGTTCTTGTTCTCGTAACTCCTTGAACGTACGAGGAAATGCTCTTTCCGCAAAAATTGCACAGAACAAAAACTTGCTGTTGTAATTTATCTGATTGGTTAACAGAGTTAAGAGCTAAATCAAAATGTGCTCGTTGTTCCCATAATTTTTTCGAATCTAAAAGTTGTTGATAACTAGAAAACCAGTTTTGTACATTTGAATTCATTTGTATTTCTAGGGGAAAAGCTCTAACGCCCAATAAACTAACGCTCTGAACGTCCCCGGTAAAGTCTAAATATTTTTGTAAAAGCTTAGCTCCTTCTAAAGAAGCTCCGGTGAGCAATATGCCGGCTAAATCTCCTTCTTCTACTAACGTATCCGACAGTCTTATTAAATACTCCGTGAGCTTGGTATCGTTTAAATAAATGCAAGCAAAGGCTACGCGATCTTCGACCGCCATTCCATATTCGCTCAACACGCTGTCGTAATTTTCATTTTCCGCAGTCATGAAAGCAAAACTTGCACGCATATATGGATCGGTCAAACATGCTCGAGATTGTACGCAATTTTCCCGCCACATACTCGTTCTCTCATCGGAAAACCCCGAAAGAGCCATAACGATAATGCCTAAATTTGATGTTTTATTTCTTTTGTTTTGATTTTCTTCTTCTACATTTAAAATATTTATAGCGAGTCGTAATTTTAAATTGAAAATTGCAATTGCTGCTGCTCGAGAGTACATCCCCCGACTTTGTAGTTTTTGAACAAAATCCACAACTCCAGATGAATCTCTTTCAAATTTCCATCCGCACAGTTGTAAAGCAGCATCTCTTTCTTCACTCCTATAAATTTTTATATAAGCCGAATTGTTAAAATCTGGCCAAGTTATGTGATTGGAATGAGATTTGAGAGTTTCTAAATTAATAACACTTAAAACTCCTGGATGAAAGTTGGAGTGACTTTTAATTATTCCTTTTTCGACTAAATTTCTACTCGAGTGAAACCACGTCCATAAATTTTTTAAATTTTCATCCTCTGCTAATTCTCCATTTTGCGCTAAATCCGGTTTTAAACCATATTCTAAAAGAGCACGCCTTTTAATTTTCGAAGACACGTCGTTTAATGAAACATAGAGATCATTACTTTCTTTAAGTATCTTGAGATATTTTCCACCGTGAGTCCATACAAGTTGAGAACACGGTAACCAGTTTAATGTAATTCTTTCGGTCAGGGAATAATCGGTAATTTGACCAGATAGTGATATAGTTAATAATCTACTTTCGTTGAACGGATGCCAAGAAAATGAAGCTATATTATATCCTGAAGAGGGCTGAACAGATCTTTCCAGCATGGGAGGCTCAACATCTTCATTACCGACGGAAGCCATTTGCAAATCGTGTAGCATTATTACATTACTATCCCTTTGTAAAGATCCCAAACGGTTCGATCTAGTCGGGCACCATAAAATTTTTGCAATAGATTTTGGTCTAGTAATTGTCGATATCGGTTTTTCGAAATTCCTAACGTCCCAAACGCAAATTTGATTTTCAAAAAATGAAGCGAGCGTGTGTTTATTATGGATTTCCATATTGATTCCATATACGGCTTTGGTCATCGTACTATTAACTATTTTCGCAGAATCTCTGCGATCTATTATTTTAAGGCATTTGTTATTGAAACCGGCGACAAGGCAGTAGGAATTTATCCAAGCAAGAGAATGAGCCGTGTCGGACATTCCAATTTCCAACAAAGCTTTGACATTTTGTCCTTCATCGGGCACGTGACGTGAATAACGAAATGCATCCCATAAAGACACGGCAGGTTCAGTGCGAAATTTTTCAAGTCCGGCAGCTATGATATTAGTTTCAAAAGGATTCCAAACGACGGCATTACACGGACGAGGATGAAGAGGTGAAAATTCACATCCGACTGCATCAGAATCAGAAGAACCGAATGAATCCAAAACTACTTTCCCATTAGCTTGTCCAATCGCTAATAAGATATCAATGTCTTTTCGGGGACAGATGTCCACACACTTAACATAACGATGCGTGGAATTCGTTGCCAACAGGGTTGCATGAGTGGTGTCGGATGTTTTTACATGCGATATTGTTTTCAATGACGTATTTTTTATGATACTTATTTCGTATAAATAAATTGCTGTACCCCAAGTAACGAACTTATCGGGATAAACGTTCGACCATAAAACTTCCAATCCGACACTCCCCATTTTAAATACACAGCAATAATTAAAATCCTACGTTTTTTATCACTACATTACCATTAACTCCTTAAATAAAAAATTAACAGTAATATCAATAACGACAATTTAATTTTAAATTAGTAATTAACTATTTAAAATTTTTTTTTTTTTTTACTTAAAATTTTAAAACGATATATATATAACATTTTGATACCTGTTTAAATTTTTTTGAATTATTTTTTTTTTTTTTTACTACAATAGAGATATCCGTCAAGGTAGGTCTTTGAGTACTTTTTCTGCAAATAAAAAAAATATAAAATACATAATTTTTTAATTCACCCTTATATTAAATAAATAAAAAAATTGTATAAATTAAATATAAGTAAATTTTACAAAAAAATTTTATTCTTCGTTTAACAAAAGCCAAAACAAAATTCATCATATGACTTATAAATATTTAAAAATCATTCAAAATAAATATTTCATGTACCGTTTTAAAAATATTTTAAACATAGGTATAAATGTATAAATAAGAAAGGAATATTGCAGTAACAAAACAAAAACAATTAAAAACTACTTTTAAAATACTTGAAAATTAAAAGTCAAACAAACATATTTAATTCTTTTTAAAAAATAAATTAATTGCTCTAAATTCCTAATTTAAAATATCGACTACAAACAAAAATTAGAAAAGCATAAAAGATGTTAATCTTGTCATATCTTGCACTGTAACTTACTCTTTAAAAGATTTTATATATATATATATATATAAAGTTTTTTTTTTCCCATTAAAAAATATTCGTTATATGTAAAATTTTAAATCATTCAAGAATAACAACATGGATTAATAAAAAAATATTAATTATTAACATTATTTTAGTGATATAAACAAAAAAACTTATATCAGTCATTAACAATTACATTATTTGAAAAATATATGTTGTTCTCATATAATTTATAATTAGTCAAAGGTTCTAATAACAAATACCATAAAATAACACCCAAAAGAAAAAGACACATAATTACAGTTCTTTTCGGATTGGGATAAGTAAATATTTTTGAAAAATCTGGAAAAGCCATCGCATTGCAAAAGGCATGTACCACAAATGGAGCAATAAAATGTCCAGTTTTGAGAAATAAAAATGCTGAATAACCTCCAAACAATGTTGTGTAAAAAAATTGTACAGCAGCCCTTATAAAAAGCATTTTGTACGGTTCACCTATTTTGAATCTTTCTATGACATGATGTAAATGAGCTAAACCAAAAAATAATGAGCAGATGTAAATAGATGTAAACGAATCGTAGCATTGTAAAAGTAAGGGCATCATACAGGCTCTAAATGTGAATTCTTCAGCCAATGGACCTATGATAATATTTCTAAGCCAAATTAAATTTCTAAACCAATATCTAATATCGAGGCATTGCTGAATATCATCAAAATTAAGCATGCTAAGAGGACCCAAAAATAAAACCATGGTTAATATCAATGGCAGTATTGCGGCTGGCAAAAATCCAGGCAATCTTAAACCTAATAAATCTAGGGTTGAATATTTACTGAATTTTTCTGCTGAAATAAAAAACTTAAGTATTACAGGGGACAAAACAGCGACAGTGAAAACACTGCAAAATCTTTGTTTAATAGTGGTAGGGTGATCACGTCCATGCTTAGATGACCAAATATACAAGCTACCCACAAACAGTCCACCTAATGCGAAACTGCCAATTAAAGAGAGGGATTTACTTCCAAGCATTTTAAACTGGCACTTGTTATTTAAATAAGTACTAAGGGCACAATTTTTAAGGCAAGTAATACAATAAAAATTAACAAAGAATATTTTCAAGTTGTGCTAAAAAATTTTCTGAACTTTAATTTAATTATAATAGGAGATAATGTTAATACCTATAGTTATCCTACAGTGATCCCAAATCTTTTGTTGCAATTCTGCTGACTACTGAATCAATTAAAGTTGATACTTCAAGTTCTTTATCAGTTATTTTGTAAGTTTTTTTTATTAAATTAACGTCTGAATAATCACAAATTTCTTCTGGATCACAAATTTCTCCTTGAAAATATTCTTTTAATTTTTCGAACTTGTTTTCACCTTTTTTTTCAAAGATAACAATGGCAACGTGACTGTCCTTTTCATCGATTCCAAAAGTATGTAGTGATTGCGTGATATTTCTAGACACTGATAGATTATAAAGTAACTCTGTATTCAAACTTTTGGTAGCAAGTTTACCTTCTTTTTCATTAATTAATGCTTTGTTAGCGGCAATAACTACCTGAAAGCTACCAGCTAATAGTGATGGTTTTATGGCGCAACAGTCTAATGTTCCTTCAATAATTTTTTGTCTAAACTCTTTTATATTTTCAACATTTTTCAATAAGAAAACAATAATTTTTCCTTCAGTTTCTTCATCTAATTCGAATACTCTCATTATTCATTTATTATTATTCATTTACGCTTTTTTTATTTACCGCAAATTCACCGACCAAGACATTTTACAGCAAAATAATGGCGGCACATTAAACCTAAATCGTTTGAAGCTTGAATGGCAACACCGCAATCTTAGCTTCACTATTTTACCGCCAAAATCAGTACAGTGAAAACCATCATGTCAAATTTTATTTATAAATTAAAAAACATGATTTATTTGTGTAATAATCACAGAACTCTATAAATTAATTATAAATAATAAATAAAAACTGCAAGTAAATAAATTAAAAGTAAATATCATAAAATTTTCCTAACAGGTAAATCTTTTAATGGAAAATAACTTTTAACATTATTTATGTAATTAGAGTATTAGGATTTTTCCCCCCTCCCAAAAAAAAAAAAAAACTACAAAAGAAGTAATTGAAAAAAAGAAAATTAAAAACTACAAAATTAAAGTTATATATATATGTATAACTTATAATTTATAATGCTTAACTGTTTAATAAATAATCTAATCTAAAATTTGTAATTTAAAATTACTCTGAAGCTGAATCTTAGTTTGGTAACCTAATATCTTACTATGTCATTATTATTTTGTATTTTAATTTAATAAAAAAAAAAAGTTAAAATATTGAATTATCAAATACTTTTTAGCAAAATGTATACCGTTCACTCATTATTAATAATACAATTTTTTTTTTTTTTTTTTTAGCATAAGAGTGAAAAATAGTAAGTGTTAATTCATCGCAAGGTCCATTTCATTTGTTTCAAGAAGGAGTGTGAAGGCGGGAATCGTTTTTATTTTTTTAAAGGTAAGGTTTGTTTTTATATAGCCACACCTTTATTATTACTAAAATTTTCAACCCTTAAAAAAACACGTTAAAAGGGTATTCGTGTTTTCATATGTTTTAACAGCCCATGTTTCATTAGTTTAAGAATATATGTTTGCATTTTTCCCCATTGGTTCATCATTGCTGGACCTATCAGATTCTGAGAAAACAAAAAATTTTTTTTTTTTTGTTATCCAGTACACCCAACCAATTTTGTTTGAGATAAGGAAAAAAAAAATAAAAAGTTTGTTTTGTTGTTTTAAGGTTTACCAAAAAGTTTACTTTTGGTTTTAAGTGTTTTTATTTTTTATTTTTTTTTTAAAAGAAGGCTTCCTATTTTTATTAGCATTGACTAAAGTATTCTTTTTTTATTTAAAATAACATTAAAGTTTATTTTTAATTACACACACACACACACAAACACACAAAACTAGCTTTCTTCTTCACATCTGCTAAAAAGTAAAACAAACATTTCATGTTGTTTGTTTATACCTAAGGTTAGGTGCAAACCCACTTGTTTCTTTAAATAATTAAATGAAAAGATTTTAATGGTAATTATTACAGTAGCATTTTTTTAAGTCGACGATTTTATTACCTTATACAAAAAAAATAATAATAATAATTTGGGAAAAAAAACGGTTTTATTAACTTATATTACGGTAATAAAATTTATTTATTTTTTTTTTTTTTATATTTTGAATAAAACAAATTCGTATTTTATTTATAAATTTTAATTAAAACGAAACATTTAAAAACGTGAAAACATTTTTTTTTTTTTTTTTTTGTTATTTAATCATTATTATTTTTTCGTTGGGGTATTTATTACGTAAAAAAAAAAAAAATTTTCAACCGTTAAAAATTACGTAGGAAAAATAATTAATTAATTTTATAATTAAAACGTTCGTGTGCCTCCTTAAAAAATTTTTTTTTACTTGTTTTACGCTGACATTGCATTGACCCCCCTGACCTCCCCCCCCCATTAATGTTAATGCACATTTGACCTTTCATGCAAAATCAGGTTTTTTTTTTTTTTTACATTTATATTCTTTTATTTTTTCACACACATACAAAAGCGAGATAATATTGATAATTATTTAATGAAAGGTTTCATATTTTAAATTTATTACTTATTGTCGATAATATTTATTTAAAAAATTTATGCCAATAGTTATTTTTATTTTTTTTCTTTCCTCTCCATGTATGTCATTTATTTATATTTTATCTTATTTATTTATTTTTATTTTAAATTGTGACACTTAATAAAAAAAAAACACGTTTTCCATTTGACAATCATTTCAAATATTTTATTGATTTATTTTTTTCGATTATAAAAATACAATTTAAAAAAAAAAATTAAATTGCACGTGTATAAATAAGGATTAATATAAATTATATATAAATTTTTTAATTCATCAATTTCCAATAATAATAATAATAATAATTTTAAATCATAAATTTATTATTTATATAATATAAATAATAATATTTATTGTCATCGTAAAAATCTTTTTTATACGTTTTTTTTAGTCATTTTATTTTTATTTTTTTTCTGCAATAAAAAAAAGCTTTTATATACATAGAATAGATATCAATAAATATAGCACGGCGTAAAATAATAATAATAATAATAATAATAATAATAATAATAATAATAATAATATTTTCGTTACGTTTACGACTATAATAATTACCGTAATATATTTTGAGTTAGAAAATTTTTTTTTTTTTAGAATTTTATTTTGGGTTTGAACAATATTTAGACGGTGATAAATAATTCAAAAAAAAAAATAAAAATTCAATTAAGACGCGTCTTATGTACATAAACAAAGATTTTAATCTGAATTTAAATAATTTTCTTACTACTCGACGTGTTACTTATTTTTTGTAATAAAAAACGAGGGGGGTCACTTTTTTAAATTTTATTATTAAAACACGAATTCGATGTTTTTTTAAATAAAAATAATACGGTGCAAATAAATAAATAAATAAATAAATAAAACTTTGTATTTTATCACGGGTATTAGATTTTATAAACAAAAATTATTGCTACTCATTTTAACGATTTTTTTTTGACGTGTCGGTTGTCAATACAAGAGATCAATTTTACTATCGTTCAATTATTATTATTATCGTCGTAAAATTTTAACGTTAAAATTATTTTTAAAAAATCGTTTAAAGTTAGTAATTGATATAAAAGGGAGGGAAGTAGTGGGAAAAAGTTTTTTTTATATCGAAATTTAAAACGAATATGATTACACAAAATGGGTAAAACGGAAACAATACAAATTTTGAGGCATAGAAACAATTTTTTTTTTTTTTTTTCAATTATTTATCATCGAAATGTAAAAGTCATTTTTTTTTTTTTTTTTTTTTATATGCAGCCCCCCAATTCTTTTTTTTTTTTTTTTTTAAATAATTAATACTCTATTGAAATCTCATCCGACTGAGATTTCAATGATGAATTACCATTAGGGGAATTTATTGTGATGATATCTCATTGCGTAATTTCATTGTTTTCTCATTCACCTTTTTAAAAAAAAAAGGTTTTCGAATGTATATTTTTAAATTGGTTTAAAATGAGTTAGTTTTAAAAAAATGATTAATGAATTTTTTTTTTTTTTCTTTTATCGAATCTTACTAAAAAAAAATTTTTTGACGTTAATAAATTAAATATAATATGTTTCGAACGCACACGAATTATTATTATTATTAATTATCGTTTCTTTTAACGATTCATCTACCACGATACAATTTCATGGAAAAATTCAAGGTTTAATTAATAATATTGGATAATATCACATTAAAAATTAATTTTATGACGTTTTACAATTAAAATTTATATAAAAATTTTTTTTTAAAAAAATAACACAAAGAAAAAAATATAAAATTTCACGTGTGTGTGTGTGTGTGCGTGTGTTAAATAAAAAAAATTTAACGACTACTAAAACTTGAACTAATATCATTTATATTATTATTATCATACGGAATAATTTATGTAAGGTTTTAAAGAATTAAAAAAAAGAAAAGTTTATTCAATATAAACTCCCTAAATAGATTACTTGTACCTGAGGTTTCATATAATAAATAACTCGCGATCAAATGATAAGAAATTTTTTTTTTAAAATAAGCTTATTCATGTTACAGACTATTCAATTTTTTGTATTTTTTTTTTTTTGTTTGACTTTAAAAAAAATTTTTTTTAAACGACATGGTAGCTCAACCAACAACAACAACACCACAAGACAAGTTATTATTTTAAAAAATATTAGGACAAAAAAAAAAAAAAAAATGGCGCCAAAGTTTACGTATATATTCTTTTCTTAGTATTTTAATAACATTTTGCAAAGCCACATATGGATGTCGGTTTTTTTTTTTGTAATTTTCGATAACCTTGTAATTCGGTTTAAATTATTATTATTATTATTTTCGGTAATTTAATTTATTTCGTCATTTAAAAAACCATAAAATTTACTCGTAATTTTTTTTTTCGTCCCCCCCTTTTTTCCCCCCTTTTTTGTTTTCTAAAATCCAGATGTGAGTCAAAAATTTTTATACGGTAACGATTGATTGATAATCGCGACAAAAAAAAAATGGGGTAAAACAAAAATTAATGGGATTTTAAAAAAGGGGGGGAGGGAGGAGAAGGAATATGTGACAAATAATAGATTAACCATCAATTAAAGAAAATAATGATAATAATTTTTTTCATTTATCAATTTTAATTATGATATCTATTTTTTTTTACATTTTACATTCGTGAATGATAATAATATTCACTATAAAAGTGTTTATTTATATTTTCAACCTGATTTTTTATTACCCAATAAATTTTAATGTCGAAAAGATTTCATCTAACCAATTCTTCCTTTGGAACCTGATATTTTTTTTTTTTACGGACACATTTGTCTAATTTTTTCACCCCTTTTAATAATAATAATAATAAAATCAGTTTGTTTAATGTAGCGTTCATGGTGTAAAAAGGGGTGCATGTGTGTGTGTGTGTGTGACACCACATATGAAATTATTTTATTGTCTTAAATATACAAACGAACAACCTGCTTACAATCAAATCTTATTTTGTTTTTTATTGTGGTTACAAAAAATTAAAAAAAATATGTGTGTATGTGTGTGTGTGTGTGTGTGTGTGCGTGTATGCTTACACATTTTTATATCGTTTTTAATGACGTGAAATGCTAATGTTACGCCGTCTCAGACAAATTTATTATTTTTGGCGTTAAAAGGGTTTCTCTTTTACTTATATATTAAAACGTCACATGTAGATTTTTACATAAAAAAAATTTTTTTTTCTTAAGGTTTATTATTATTATTATTATTATTATTATTATTATTATTATTATTATTATTATGACGATATTGATTTAAATTCTTTTATATATTGTTATATTCGGTTCGTTCTTTATTTTTGTAAGTAATGAACAAGCACTTAAAACTATCACAAAACTAATATTAATAAACAAGAACTTATTACAGCTAGACTAAAAATCAAAATGAACCCACGCCAAGCTGTGTAGCTTGCCTATATTACTTTGGTCTTTCGTCAGTCAACTGTTTCGAATGTTCGAGCAACACTTGCAAATAAAATAAAAG